GTGTGTTTGTGTGGCTGCTTGTACTAGTCCGGACTGATGCCGATTTATAGTGCCAGTTCGCTGAGATACCATGCCGCAGTTTAACATGAATACCCCACTCAGACACAGTATACTGACTCCGAGCCGACCAGTCCTTGTTTTAGCCCCTTAATGCCGAGCGCCAGACAGGGTAACAACAAGTACCATCTTTTAACGTATTTTGGTATGACGCGGTCAGGGATCGAACCCCGGACCTTCCGCTCTCCGGGCGGACTCTCTACTGTATCCAAGTCAGGAATGTAACCCGGACGTACTGTGTGGCATGTAAGTGCTTTACCCCTTAGCCTAGCTACTGATCTCTTTGGTATATATCAAAATATCAGTTGGTCTTTGTTGTGACAGATTTAGAGCTGGAGCAAAGTCATGTTAGATGATTTATATTGATACGTATTTATTTGACAATCATGCCAGACCGTTCCTAATTGTTAGTTTGTGAGGCTTTAGTTTCTAGCGGATATTACGACGGGAGACACAAGAAATGGACAGACATTGTACTATGTTGGGGAAATGAGCACAACTCTTCGGCGAGACAAGCAAACGCTTTAAGCACAAGACCTCCCCACCATCCTGCACCTAGTAGTAAATACTGGTGACTATCACTGCCTTGTTTGTCTGACCTGAAGTCTTTGTAGAGAGAGACATACACATGGTTCCTAAAACATCACCCACTATCCAAAATTTTATTTGCAAATGCAACTGTGGGTATGCCTAGATCGGAATGTAAAGGAACGGTATTCATTAACTATATTTTTTTGCGTCGACCTACGTATAGCAGTTACAGTGACGGTTAGGAAAAAATGAATGTACTTTCATTGAACGCAACCAATGCTGTGTTGGTAGCAAATTTAGACTTGTCGTGTCGCCGCTGCTGCCATCGATCGCAGCTTAAACGTCCATGTTCCTGCCGAACATAAAATGGGTTTATGTAAGTAACTAATGCATACCATGGCAGTGCGGGGATCTTTCAGATGCCGATTTTACAACATGAAAGTGGATAGTAAGCTTCGAAGCAGTACATTTAATGCATTTCATGAATGAGCCACAAGGAACAACTGACTAAGGTGGCCTTGGCAGCACGTCTGGTACTAGTTAGGGACTGTGGTTCAACAAGGCAATACAGATCTGTTTGAGATCCGGGGTAGAAGATGTCTTCACAACCCATGCTTGCCGTAAAAGGCGACTACGCTTGTCGAAAGACCGACTAACGGGACCGGGCGGTCAGGCTCGCTGACTTGGTTGATGCATGTCATCGTATCCCAATTGCGTGGATTGATGCTCATGATGTCAATCAATGGATTGTCTGGTTCATAGTTGATTATTTACAGACCGCCGTTATATAGCTTGCATATTGCTGAATGCGGCGTTAACAACAAACACACAAACAAACAAACTTTCTTGAATGTTATACTACATCTTAGGAGTGAGTTAATGTTGTTTTACGCAACATTCAACAATAACAACATTTGGACATCGTTTGTGCTCGTCTTGTCCCTATTTGGGGATTCAAGGACAGAATAGGGCAAATGTATCTCCTGTTTGTCTTTGAAATTGGGGAAATGAGGGACACAATGTGAGACTTGTGCGTTATGTTGTCCCTACAGCAAAGATCATTGCAGTCAACCACTCGACGGTTTGCACAAAGTATAGTTACGGCGACAGTGTTATTTAGGGAAACCTGGGATTGAGAAACAAACCTCGTCGTCATTGGACTGTACACTGGGTCGACTAGTTCTCACAGTGTAACCGTTTGAGGTCGACTGTGTGATATGGAAATCTTATAGGCTTCATGGTATTGGTTATTACTCGTATACAGTAATTGGACCAAGTGACTAATACTTAAGTTTACGTTTGTTTGTAAAGGTATGCTCAGATTTAGGAATTCTGGCCACAGTGGCAACAATCTAACAGACAATTACAATGTGTTATTGTAATTGGTAATGGTGTGCACTCTTCTTTTATATATGTTGCCAATATCAGTCAGTAAGTGAGTGAGTGAGTGAGTGAGTATGGAATATTTTAGTCTTATTCTAGGCTTCTTATGACGAGGTTGCAACAAATGGGCTTCACACACGAAGAACACATTAACCACTAGATAATTCTACCGCCGTTGTCATTTCATGGTTTTATGTATTTATTTCGTCATGTACACGACGCCCACGTCCAGAAACATAAATGTCAACATAAGTGTGTTATCAGGTTATTAGCCTTGTAGGTTATGCATGATATAGATATTAATACACGAGTGTGTATCAGATACCCTTTATCTTACAATCACTATCAGATACCATTTATCTCACAATAATTTGTAAGATAAATGGTATCTGAAACGCACGAGTGTAGCAATCTGCTTCTTACACACAATAGTGAGTGAGTGAGTTGGGTTTAACGCTGTTTTTAACAGTATTCCAGTTATATCGCGGCGTGTCAGCTTAATGTGGGAGGAAAGCCCGAAGTGATGCAGGTCTCAGACGTTTACCACTTCGGTGAAACACATTTCGTCTATTCTCATGATCGCAGTGGCGCATAAATACATGGCACAACGATCATGACTGACGTCATCCGTCAAACTGCTTACTACTTATAAATAATGTGACCCTACACGAAAAGGTTTCCGCCATATCAGTGGATTGCCAAGGCGATGGTGACAATGCAAGATCAAAGAACCCGCTGAATGACGAGTTGATAATTTTCTCCTCAAAGAAATTACCAAATATGTACAACTATTTTCACTTCCATATGACATCACTACCGGCGACCGACGTTTACAAAATAGCTATTCATTGACAACGGTACGCGGGATTTTCCGAGGAGGATTTTCGTTCATTGAGGGATCGTACATCATAAATGTGTCATGTAAGTAATCAGAAACATTCTGACAATCTGCGTACAGCTATTTGTTTTTATGATTATTTATTGTAACCAGGAGAGTAAGAAATTCAGATAACTACCGTCATCGTTGTGCGTGACATGGCGTCCATGGCGTCCATGGCGCCACACAGGACAGAGACACTGACGAGTTCTGTTGAATTTACCTCATCATTGTAATGTAAAAATTTTTATTTCCATAATTTGTGCCACGACACTCTTCCCATGAATATTCTCAAACACGTGAAACCCGTGAAGATCCGGGTTAGAATAGGTCTTCAGCAACATATGCTTGCCGTAAAAGGCGACTATGCTTGTCGTAAGAGGCAACGAACAGGATCATGTGGTCAGGCTCGCTGACTTGGCTGATGCGTGTCATCGTATCACAATTACATGGATCTATGATCTTGATGTCAAACACTGACTTGTCTGATCCTGACACGATTATTTACAGACCGCCGTCATATAGCATGAATATTGCTAAGTGCGGCGTTTAACAAAGAAACTAAAGAACGAAAGAAAGACAACCCGAATCCGTTGGTCGCCTTTTACGGCAAGTATGGGCAGCTGAAGACCTATTCTACCCCGGATCTTTACGGGTACCGATTCCATTGAGGACTAGTCAGTTGAAGTACTGTGGCATCACTTTCTCCCCACATCAAATGTACGTATACCTAACGTACATATGAGATGTTTCAGGGAATATATTTGTAACTTTTAGAGATACTAATGCATAGCTGTATGAACTGTGTTCAAACACAAAACAATTATTTAGATCTTCAAAAGTGATTTACACAAGCAACTTTACATAAGAATTGTTTTTCCAGTGACAGTATTTCTTCCTCGATGTGTCAGATATTTATTCAAAGAGGTCATATCACTTGGTTTTGGTTTTTTATTAATTTCACATGGGTCTCAAGTCATGCATATTTCATCTCAGATAATAACGGAGTGTTATTTCTTTCTGCAAATGTGACAATATTTCCATTATTTTTGTCTGCCTTCGATAATTTAAACATCTCGAAAGTATCCAAATCAGCTCTGTGTATTTTTCCCAGAACAAACTTCACGACGCATAACATCCTTTATTTTAAGAGATTTTGCGACTTATTAGATCTAAGTTGGTCAATTTAATGTTTCTGGTTGACTATATAAAGATATGCCCATTTGGCCTAATGTTCAAAAGTACGGAAGCGTAGTAGGGCTACAGTGAATTTTTTTATCTAAATATCTCCAACGTAGGACTTATTATCTCCTACGTAGGACTTACTATCTCCTACGTACGACTTAGTATCTTCTACGTAGGACTTACTATCTCCTACGTAGGACTTACTATCTGCTACGTAGGACTTACTATCTCCTACGTAGGATTTATTATATCCTACGTAGGACTTACTATCTCCTACGTAGGACTTACTATCTCCTACGTAGGACTTACTATCTTCTACGTAGGACTTACTATTTGCTACGTAGGACTTAGTATCTCCTACGTACGTCATACGTAGGAGATAATTAGACAAAAAACAAAATCGCCGTGGCCCTACTACGCTTCCGTACAAAAGCATGGCAACTCGGTGCACAATTTGAATCATTTGGCCAAATCGGGACCCGTTAGTCAGGTTTCGAAATCTTGATCTGACCAGCCGATGATGAGTACCTGAGCCGTTGTCTGGTAAGTGTATATGCCCCATGCCACTCTCCATCAAATTTTGCGATACCATAATTTTACAGATATCAAAACAATTAACCCCTTTGGGATTCAGAGACAGGGGTTCAAGCTCCTGGGCCTACTTGCACAAAGCGATCTTAGCGCTACAGCTATTGTAAGCCTACGTTAAAGTATGGGAGTTACGATCATCTTAGCGCTAAGATCGCTTTGTGCAAGTGAGCCCAGGTGCCAGCTCATGAAGATCGAGTGGTTGCAGTGTGAGACCTGGCCATTGGTTCTGGTCTGCTGAACTTAGGATTCATCATTGCCAGACAAACGTGATATAGCTGGAAGTACACAGTGTAACTCCAATAATGTGGTTTCGTTCTGTACAGTTATGTTTCCGTCTCCACTGTTGATGTTATTGGTTGTTCCTTTACAATCACAGGCACATCTTTAGGACATCGGCACCGCCTGCTTGGGATTCTGAAGGTGTTGTCTGTCATCAACATCCTCCTGGGCCTCATCACCACAGCGCTTGGGGGAGTACTGGTTGCCCTGGCTTTGGATAGACCACGATTTACATTTTCTACGGGGCTGCCTCTTATGACGGGTGTACTGGTTTGTATAACACTCATTCTGAGATGCAATGAGAGTGTCTGACGTTTCATCGACAAATTCATTTACTGATTTTTCAAAAGTACCCATCTTACAGCTATGTGACATCAGATGTAATTCAGTTCACCTGATGCTTGCCGTAAAAGGCGACTATGCTTGTCGTAGAAGGCGACAAACGGGATCGGGTGGTCAGGCTCGCTGACTTGGTTGATACATGTCATCAATCCAAATTGCAAGGATCGATGCTCATGATATCAATCACTGGATTGTCTCGTCCAGACTCGATTATTTACAGACCGCCGACATATAGCTTGAATATTGCTGAGTGCGGCGTAAAACAACAAACCAAACCAAGAAATCAGTACACCTGATTAGATAAGGAGTGCGTTGGTTTGGTTTGTTGTTTTACGCCGCACTCAGCAATATACCAGCTATATGACGGCGGTCTGTAAATAATCGAGTCTGGACCAGACAATCCAGTGACTGACATCATGAACATCGATCCACGCAATTGGGACCGATTACATGCATCAACCAAGTCAGCGAGCCTGACCACCCAATCCCGTTAGTCGCCTCTTACGACAAGCATAGTCGCCTTTTACGGCAAGCATGGGTTGCTGAGGACCTATTCTACCCCGAATCTTCACGGGTCAGGAGTGCGTTGACACACATCAGGGACACTGGTCATAAATATCCCTTTAAACTCACTGATGGCACATTAAGCAGTCGGTGAACTGTAATGCCTCGAAACGTTCTGTTCCAATAAAAAATATTTTAAAGTCTACAAATACGTTAATGAATATTAATAACACTATGAACTTTGTGGCATTTTCTAAAGAGGTAGGCTAGAATACATACCTAGCCAATCTCACCATGCCGATTTATACATTTTCGATAGATAACTTGTATCATTTCAACCTGTCTGGTAAAAGTGAGTGAGTGAGTGAGTTAAGATTTAACGTCACGATGGACAGTACAATAACTAGAATATCACAGATTTGATTTAAAACTAGTTGCGAATATTTAAAAGCAGAAGGTTTAAGTTTACAACACAATAAAAAAAATGGGCTAGAGATCGTCAGTCACGGAAGGGTGATCACCATACCAGGGACCATGGGGACTTACAGTGCCTTTGCTTCCTGCATGGACCCTGGCAGGATTTATATCACCCTAGAGCCACTGGCGATAATTGACCAGTTAAGCCTAAGATTAAAATGACGAAAATACTACGTTTAAAAGTCTGGCATGCATAGAAAATACTTTGAATGGCGTGGAACTTACATGCCTGTCTGGTAAAAAAATTCATTCTATGAATGTGTCGCTATCGACCGTTTCCTCTTCACTAACCAGCTGTGAATTATTGTTTCACCGTCATGTCCCATGACATGTCAGACATTCAGAATGCAAGCCGAACGTCTAATAACAATGACTGGCGTGCGAACCACCTGGGGCGGTGATGGTTAAAGTGACAAATGACTTTTCTCGGTACACATCCGCTGGGTAGTCACTTGTGTGCATTACTGTAATTGTTCGCTTCAACTAAAGTAAATTCTAAGGGATGAAGATGCTGTTAACGGGGCCAAAAGGTACAGATCAATCCAAATATGTTTTTAATAAAGTATTAATAATATTGTGCAATTGTTATCTTTAAAGGAAATAACTTAATCAAAATTGAAAATCAACACCACCTAATTTTAGTGGAAATATTAAACGTAATTTAGGGAATTTTGATGCTTTGATGCCATGTGTTTTTGTTTAGATTTACCTTGTATTGATTATAACACCCCAATATATGACCGCCTCCGTGGTCTAGTGGTGGAGCGTCCGCCCGGAGAGCGGAAGGTCCGGGAGTTCTATCCAAACGACGTTAACAGATGGTACTTGTTGTCTCGCGCTCGACAATAACGGGGTAAAACAAGAACTGGTTCTGAGTGGGGTATTCATGTTTAACTGCGGCATGGTATCTCAGTGAGCTAGCACTATAAATCAGCATCAGTCCGGACTAGTACAAGCAGTCACAAAAACACACACACGTACATGCACGTCGCTATAAAAGTGCATTAATCTTGGACGCGACGTTAAACCCCATTTCACCTCACCTCACCTCACCGTAATAGTGATATAACTGATGGGTGTGTTGCTCGATAGACAAGCTATAGGACACGGCGATATTTTGGCATGTCATGATACAAGATGGTACTTGTTTTTACCTTGCCTGGCGCTCGCAATTATTGGGATAAATCAACTATTGGTATTTGTCCTGACTAGTACGAGTATACATGAACGCACGCACACATGCTTATTGCTCGCTAATTAAGTACAATATCCTTCTACATGACATTCAACCACATTTCACCTCACTTCGACAAATCTACAGAATTATTCTCTTCTGGTCAGTTAAATGCATTCTCGTGAAATAACAAAAGAGCATAAACATTATTCCATTACCAGATTTTGTGAACATTCATATATGTTAAAACTACATTGTGCCGTTACATATCTGTAGGTACTTTGATATATTTTCCTGTATGTATGTAAGGTAATTGAAGGCACGAGGCAGATAATATCACACAGTCGAAACAATGTCACACATGTTGGTGAATCAAACGAAATCAATTATCACAAGAACACTAGTCGACTCAATATTACAATTTCGTTTACACCTTGGAGCTATGACCAAACTGAAAACTCAGGTCAATACACAAAATGCATAAATAGGCGAACGTTTGTGTCTGTTTGTTTGTTTGTTTGTTGTTTAACGCCGCACTCAGCAAAATTCCAGCTATATGACGGCGGTCTGTAAATAATCGAGTCTGGACCAGACAATCCAGTGATTGACAACATGAGCATCGATCCACGCAATTGGGATCGATGACATGCATCAACCAAGTCAGCGAGCCTGACAACCCGATCCTGTTAGTCGCCTTTTACGACAAGCATAGTCGCCTTTTACGGCAAGAATGGGTTGCTGAAGACCTATTCTTCAGCAACCCATACTTGCCGTTAAGACAACAGGATGCCTGAATACAAATATGATAATTAATGACTATTTGGTGGTCACAATGAAATGACGTTAATGCATACTGTTAATTATGAATATGTCATTTGACCAGTTGCTTAAACTAAACTGATACCATTTATATGCATATATTGTCCTTTCGTATGACAATCGGCAGTTTTTCAATATTTTTATCAGTCTCCTCTTAATGTGGGGTAGGTTAATTTTTGAAGCATGCATTGGTCACATTGAAAAGCCCAGATGCCACACATGGCTTTGGCGTGCGAAGACAACACCCTCAACCCATAACGCATCTATTTGGTTCGTTGCCTACACGTGCGTCTTGAAAAGATCATTGTATCCTGCTGCCTAAAAGATACTCAAAATCCACATCATAATTGAACCTGTACACGATCATTCTATCCTGCTGCCAACAGTTTTAATTATGATGTAGATTTTGCGTATCTTTTACATACTTTTTTTCAGCCCGTGAAGATCCGGGGTAGAATAGGTCTTCAGCAACCCATGCTTGCCGCAAAAAGCGAATATGCTTGTCGTAAGAGGATCGGATGGTCAGGCCCGCTGACTTGGTTGATGCATGTCATCGATTCCAATCGCGTGGATCGATGCACATGATGTCAATCACTGGATTGTCTGGTCCAGACCCGATTATTTACAGACCGCCGTCATATAGCTGGAATATTGCTGAGTGCGGCGTAAAACAACAAACAAACAAAGCAAAGAAGAGTGGGTTTTTCAAGCTGTTTTGTCGTCATTGAAGTCAATCTGTACAAAGTTTAAAATGTCTGTATGAGTGTTTTAACAAAGAGCATCAGAAAGGTATCTATTTGAATTGGTTCTTACGCTCACCTGCAACAAACGTTTGTATTTTCTCTCAGCATTGATATTAATCCCCGATCTCTGTTCGTTGTATCTCTTCAGGGCGGGTTAAAACATGTTTACTCAAAATAACAATGAGACCGATGTGAAAGTAATCCCAGTACGAACCAAGTGTTTGTTTCAATTTGATCTGTTAAGTTACTGCCGTTTTACTGTGTACAGTTAACAATAGCAGTGCTAGCACCTTACGAAGTGGACTGAACAGAACTGGACCAGAAATTCCCATACGTCAAAATTTCATGCAGTTTGTTACTGTGGGAATGAATATCTGATATTGATTAACAATACATCTGTTGGCTTTATTTGTGCGTGGATATGCCCCGTGGAAACACTCTTGTCCCAGGTGTAGAGTCTGTGAATTCTTTACAAAACTACCACTCAATCGTGCATGGACAGAAATCGATATCTTCACTCAGTTAAGTGAAACGTTATGACATTATAAGATACGCTAAGTTAATAAACGTTGACGTATACGTTGATCAACATTCAGTCAAACGATTGTGCCGAACTAGATCCCCCGGTGGTAGTTAGACAATGTAATTGTTTCTAGCCTTATTACGCCATTGCAACAACATTGGCACGTTGTTTGACAGTGGAAATGTCTGGCAATAAACCATGGTTCCTGACATCTTCCTCAAGACTAATCTCGCACATGAATGCCCAGCCTTGTTAACGACCCACGGGGTTCATTGCTATATAGGACCATACATATCTAACCAGACCATTCTATTCTGGGGAACAGTTGTGACGTGACACAGATTACGCGAGAGGCGCTTCTGTCTGGTGGCATATAACAGATTTAAAAGGCATCGTTGAGATGTATCTTTTATATTATAATACTTTCTTTTTTTTATAATATAATAAGTTCTGTATTATTATTATTATTATTTATTATTTTCAGAAAAAGTCGGACAAGTTCATACGTAGGCTTGAGCATATATCGTAACTTTATATGTAGATCCATGAAGATTCCGGGGTAGAATAGGTCTTCAGCGACCTTTCTTGCCGTAAAAGGTGACTATGCTTGTCGTAAAAGGCGACAAAAGGGATCTGGTGGTCAGGCTCGCTGACTTGGTTGATACATGTCATCGATCCCAATTGCATGGATCGAAGCTCATGATGTCAATCACTGGATTGTCTGGTCCAAACTCGATTATTTTACAGGCCGCCGTCATATAGCTGGAATATTGCTGAGTGCGGCGTTAAACAACAAACAAACAAACAAATTATATGTAGTACTATATCTAGTGTATACATGCACTGGTATGACCACTATTGCCCACAGTGTATACACTACATATGCAATACCATGTCCGATGTTGTCCACATATTATGCAGACCCGTGAAGATCCGGGGTAGAATAGGTCTTCAGCAACCCTTCTTGTCGTAAAAAGCGACTCTGCTTGTCGTAAAAGGCGACTAACGGGATCGGGTGGTCAGGCTCGCTGACTTGGTTGAAGCATGTAATCGATCCCAATTGCGTTGGTTGATGCTCCTGATGTCAATCACTGGATTGTCTGGTCCAGACTCGATTATTTACAGACTGCCGTCATATGCTGGAATATTGCTGATTGCGGCGTAAAAAAACAAGCCCACCAACATATTATACAACTATGTACAACTTTGCGTTGTCTTTTGCAGAAGTTAATCGGGTCAATCATTCTGTGCTTTATATCCGTGGGAGCTTCAAAATTCAGAAACTACACCTCACCACAACTATGCAAGTGGCAGGTAAGAACAACGCTCATGACTTCTAGAACAGTGTTCACCTTTCAGTCAGGGACTTGAATTTAGCATTGTCGGGGGATACGTGTTCAGCTTCAGACGAAGCAGGCAGTGACTAAGTTTGAACTTTTAAAAAAAACAAAACAACAGTGTTAACATAATCTATTCCGTTAGGCGTATTACCCTGTCCTGCTTAGCATGAGGTTTAGAAGTTTTGTTAATTTGGGATTTTCTTTATTTCCCGGTTTCCAGGGAAAGGGGTCATGACGTTGAGTTCAACTAGCTGTGGATATAATTATTTCATTCTTGGTTGTTTGTGTGTCACGTTAGTGGGTGACCGATAGAAGATAAAACTAATAATGCACTGAATAATGAAATGATAAGTCTACAATACAAAGTGTCTTGTATTTGTCTTGGCCTTACACATTACTGTAGGGGGTGGTCGGGTAGCCTAGTGGATAAAGCGTTCGCCAGTCACGCCGAAGACCCGGGTTCGATTCCCGACATGGGTACGATGTGTGATGCCCATTTCTTGGGTCCCCCGCCGTGATATTGCTGGAATATTGCTAAAAGCGGCGTAAAACCATACTCACTCACTCAAAACTGGTGGGTCATTTTGATAAACTTCTTATAAACATTTCGGCATTGTTATTGTGCTTTCAACAGTTTGAGAGGTTAAAAATCAAACAGCTTTGAAGAGTAGCAGAATTTGGATTTAGAGCAACCTTGGGTCATAGCGAGTTAGAGCTTAATAGAGAACATATGGTTATAAAATAGTTACTTCCCTTCTTTGAATATCCTTCCGATAAAGTGTTTCTAACTTTTTATACGGAACGGGAAATTCGTTATTTTTTTCTGGAGCGGTGGTAAATCACTGTAGGCTTTCCAATGTCTGAATACGACGTATCTTTTTGAGATTTGAGAAATAACAACAACTGACTTCCTTGTATATTGATTACTGACATGTCCATTAACGCTGACCATTTCTCTGAGCTTAATGTGAGGACCAGTCGTTACATGCAGGCAGCATCAGTGGTGTGTAATTAGGCCACGGAGATAAACTTGTATTCATTAACACTGGATTGACTTGGGGTTAGACACGGCTTCAGTTAAATGTACGTCCTGATGTGTGAGCTGAATGTGGTGGGAACGCTGCAGTGACGCAGGTGGTAGACGTTTACCATTTTGATGAAATCCATCAACCATGTTAAGTCGCTAAAGGAACATGGGCATTCATCAAACGAAACTTTGATTTTCCATAACTCGAAAAGGTGCTGACCTCACAGAGATAATCCTTCGTCAGAATTAAAATTGTTGACATATTATTTTTCTAAATATCGCAATTGACTTCAATCCACTTGTCAAGGGATGCTCTACCCTGTGGTAGTCTTCAGCTTGGTCGGCTCCTCAAAGGTCTTGACGGTGGTAGTCACATCCACGTTATTGCAACACACACTATCCTGTAGATGGGACTTAACTTGAGGGAACTCAAACGCCGCACTCAGCAGTATTCTAGCTATATGACGGCGTCTATAAATAATCGAGCCTGCACCAGACAATTCAGTGATTGACATCATGAGCATCGATCCATGCAATTGGGATCGATGACATGCATCAACCAAGACAGCGAGTCTGACCACCCGATCCCGTTAGCCGTCTTTTACGACAAGCATAGTAGGCTTTTACGGCAAGCATGGGTTGCTGGACGCCTATTCTACCAAGGATCTCCACGGGTCTCACGAGTTTGAGAATAGTCATGGGACGAGTTTCGTAGCACGAATTATGGAAATATAAAATGTACATTACAATGAATATACCGTATTCGACGTAATAAGCGCACCGCTCTAATAAGCGCCCATGGCGATATTTGCTAATATATTGGCTAGTGAACAATCCCAATAAGCACCCCTTCCGATTGATCAATGTATGCAAGACTTATTTATTCGTGTATAATACGCATTCGTGTGTTATATCAATCTTAATTATGGGCAATTCAATTCTTGAAAAATATATCTGTCGTATGTAAACATTTCAGGCTGTTAGCATAAACCACGAAATTTACGATCTTTCAACTCAAAATAATATTCTAATAAGCGCCCCACATTTCTAATTTTGAGAGCGCCCTGGGCGCTTATTACGTTGAATACGGTACATCAAATATGAATCAATCTTTAGTCATGTGAAACATTGTATAGCTGTAATGAGTATATGTCTTACGCCTTATTTGTGATGATGTTATTTCTCCTGAAAGGTCATTTATGGTTAAAGAGGAAATGATAAAAACGCGTTTTCCTTCCTCGATGTAAAAACGTAAAACATTACCAAAACAGATTTCAGTGATCAATATTGGATAGATAATTGTATTTTCTTTATTCCAGTGTGCCATGATGTATTTCTGCTACGCCGGTGTCCTTATTCTTGGAACCTTAAACTTGGTGTTAACCTTCAGTGAAACTGACATCCAGCTATCTTTAATCCATGATGATAGCCGTGTACCTATGTTCCCCTTAGGAATAGCCTCGGCAACTCTTGTTGCTGTGGACCTTCTTGGGGGCATTTGCGTGGCGATAGTTTGTGTCTTCAAGCATCAAAGTGACCCAGGGTTTCATGCCAAGTACAGTCCTTCGATTCAGCACAACGAACATATTGAAAGAGAAGTGAACTACCGTTTGATGATTCTACGGCAGATGCTACCAAGACATTCTGTGGGACACGTGTCATTAACGCCTCATAGCAGCGTGGGGTCATCTCGTTCCGTGCACAAACAGGATACAGTGACGCATGTGGACAGAAAAGGATATTATGTGTGGGACGCCCTTCCTACTCTGGACTATTAATAGTTGGTTGGTTGGTTGGTTTGTTGTTTACCGCTGCACTCAACAATATTCCAGCTTTATGACGGCGGTCTGTAAATAATCGAGTTTGGACCAGACAATCCAGTGATTAATAACATGAGCATCAATCCATGCAATTGGGGTCGATGACATGCATCAAACCAAGTCAGCGAGTCTGACCACCCGATCCCGTTAGTCGTCTCTTACGACAAGCATAGTCGCCTTTTACGGCAAGCATGGGTTGCTGAAGACCTATTCTACCCCGGATCTTCACGGGTTAAACAAACAAGGAATAGGAATCTATCAAGTATATATTCAGATGCGTCATGTATTGTACATTTATTTTCATCCATAAACTGAGGCTTGGGGATGAGGGATGAGGCCTTCCGTCATTAAGAGGGTTAACACCAATGATGACTATAAAAATGGTTACATCGATGACATAGTCTGTGCAATTGGTAATAGTCCAGCGATTTGAATAGGTCTTGTTAGCATTGGTGCTGACATTTCCTGAGGAATATGATCGTAACGTCAAAGGAATATACGTACCTCATATGGATAATATGTGTATCACCAATCGATAACTGTCAAGTATGAATATTTTCATAATCAATCACACTTGAAACAAGATGTCATTTTTTACATATTTACCAATAGATATAACATGGACGCCAATGCCATTACTGTGTCTACAGGAATGCTGTGTGTTCAGAGAAAATCAATGTTAGACATATATAATCCTCATCTGTTCACTTGCCGTATGATGCAGACTGAAATCCGCTGTGTCAGCTAAGACAGCTTGTCCACGTGAAAAGTCCTTTGAGTAAATTAGCCAATAGAGTAACGAGTGAGTTCTACGCCTCTTTGAACATCACTTCAGTTTGACCACAGTCTATCAGATCCCCTGGTGATGCTGGTCTTAAACATTTTGTGGAAACCCTACGTGCGAGAATATGGTGCTGACAAACCAATGGTTCTAATAAGGGCGAAATGGGGATTCAAACCCACGATCATAATATCACAGTATGTCCAAGAGAAACAACTTTGCAGAGGGAATTCCAGCGACTTAGATGCCTTGGCCACGGGTGTCCCAATATAGAAATTATTGATACGTTAAGTCATCTCATGATATCATCTATTTCACCAGAAAATGTTTTCCATAAAATCAATGACGCAGAACTGCGACGCAATCGAACATTGAATTAAGACAAGATCAAGACGCTCGTGTATCCCGACATAGTAATAGTTTGAGATATTTATCTGACGAGATAACCTATTTCTCCAGTTCCCATGTGTTTTTCAGAAAATCAATGAAGCGAAACTAAGGAGAAATCGAACGTTGAATTAAAATAAACCTTAATCAACCAGATCATTTGTCTGTTTACCACCGAGTCCTATCTAACATCTCATTTAGTGTCCATGCAATCCTTTAAGATGCTAAATCAAACAAAAGTTGTTTTCTTAACATGTGTTTCATTTTTAGAAAGGCAGTACCGATGCTATGTATGCGTCGATACAGATGATGCAGATTCATAGCCAATCTCATACATCAAACTCGACTCTCCATTCAAAGGATGATACGTGGAGTCTTAGAGATTAATGTACAGTTTGGAGCTTCGGGAAGAGGTGTTGTAGTTGACCGAGCTTTAAAAGAGGTGCTTTTCAGCTGCTAGCATGTCAGTGAGTGAGTGAGTGAGTTAATATTTAACGTCACATAGGCAAAATTTCAGCCATATCGCGACGAGAAGGTAGACATTAATAATACATATATTCAAACTTTATAAAAACCTGTCATCGAAGGACAGTACGATAACTAGCATATCACAGATTAGATTTAAAACTAGTTGAGGCACATTTAAAAGAAGAGAGAATGAGTTGACAACACAATATAAAAATGGGCTAGAGATCGTCAGTAACTAAAGGGAGATCACCATACCAGGGACCATGGGGACTTACAGTACCTTTGCTTCCTGCATGGACCCCGGCAGGATTTATATCATCCCAACAGACAATAGCGATATTATACCAGCAAAGCCTTGTGTTAAAATGACGAAAATACTACGTTTTAAAATTCTGGCATGCATAAAAATACTTCAAATGATGGGGGACTTACGTACCCTCTTAGGGGGACAATAATTTGCTAGCGTGTCAGTTAAATGTACACGAAAGCCACAATTCACAGAAACAACGAGCACGGGTGTGGTGCTGACACACCAAGGATCAGATGGGATGAATCTGGGATTCGAACCCCCGATTTCTAGCACGACTAAGGGTCGTATCTCACTGCGAATCTGCGAATGGCGGGTCCTAAATTGTAACCCGAAGTTCCACCATATTCATTGAGATATTTTGTACAGGAAATTCCTGGTTTACAATAAAAGCGACAAAGCTCTTTCCACATTCAAAAGTGAGTGAGTGAGTGAGTTCAATTAAAGTCACGGCGGCAATATTTCAGCCATAATGTGACTTGAACAAGTTATACAAGAGTCATAAAAACTGTCGACGAGGGACAGTATAATAACTAGCAATATATCACATAGTAAGTTAAAACTAGTTGTAGAACACTAAACTTATCTGATTATTAAGGTACGACACAATTTAAAAATGGGGCTATAGATCGCCAGCAACAAAGTTAAGATCACCATACTGGGGACCAAGGGGACTTACGGTACCTCTGCTACCTGCATGGTTCCCCAGCAGGATTTACACTTCCCCAAGTTACTGGGGATTATTGCGAGTTTAGCCAGATATTAAAAGTTAACAAATATTCTGCAGTTAAAATTGAGGTAGATATAAATATACTTTGAAAGAGGTGGTCTTACATACCCTCTCAGGGGGACAATAATTATCGCTACTTCAACCCCCGTCGAGGGTATAGCCACGAACAGTCCCACATTCAAAAGAAATCTCGATTGTAAGATTCAGACTTTATCATGAAGATGTGTTTAAGAATCACTGTGAAATAGAGATGACACCAGGCCAGGTGTTCGCGAATAGGTGAGCGTATGCTGCTCCACCGTTTGCATACGTCACAAACACTTGCAGAGGCAAGGCAAATGTTCACCTAAAACACAACACGGGAGCATAAGGTACAAGTCAAAATAGGGAATTGCATAGGACATCATTGTCACTGATGCTTCAAATATGGAAATATCCTCCATATGTCTACCATAAAAACTTGTGAAAGCTTTACTGAGACCTTGAATGTGGTAACCTTGATCAAACAACTTCTAAACAAGAGTAGTATGACGACGCTCTTAGAAATCTACGTAGAAGGTGCATGCTCGATTGTAGCTCAAAAGTTGTGAAATGTAAACACCAAAGGCTGGAGGTGCTGGAATATTTCTCGACATAAAGGGAAAGTTGAAGTCATCCCTCTTCTCACACAGACCTGTGGAGAGTGATTTGTCACTCAGAATCTTCATACAAAGATCTAAATATGAAACATATCTCAGTGGTCTCCTTTATTTCTAGTTAAGATGGTAAATCAGTGGAAGTGAATTGGCTATTTTATCGGTATTGAACGATATCAGATATTAATCGATATAGCTGAAGCTTAAGTTACACTTCTTGGCAAACTACCTTGTTTTGACTTTGCTTTTCCGAGCCAAAATTCTGATCCATATGCATTAGGAAACAGATCAGCAAGAAGGGGAGAGCAATTGATCATGATGATGCCCATGGCGATGCCGACCTCTTGCCTAAATGTCTTACCCCCAAATTTTACATGCATGTTATTGATGAGGAAGTCCAGCTTTTCAGATGTTGCTTTCTCAGCAAACTTCAGATGGCATTAGCTTTCATTTCTGAAGTAACTGTATCTGTGGTCGCCACGTTTTGTAACAAAGGCCACTTGGATAAAAAAATGTCCATTGTGAAATATGTTAGGTGAGGTGAAAAGGGGTTTAACGTCGCGTCCAAAATTATTGCACTTATATAGCGACGTGCATGCACGTGTGTGTGTGTGGCTGCTTGTACTAGTCTGAACTGATGCCGATTTATAGTGCTAGCTCACTGAGATACCATGCCGCAGTTTAACATGAATACCCCACTCAGACACAGTATACTGACTCCGAGCCGACCAGTCCTTGTTTTAGCCCCTTAATGCCGAGCGCCAGACAGGGTAGCAACAAGTACCATCTTTTAACGTCTTTTGGTATGACGCGGTCAGGGATTGAACCCCGGACCTTCCGCTCTCCGGGCGGACGCTCTACCACTAGACCACGGAGACGGTTCCATCGTGATACAGGCAAAGGTTCAGACAGTAAACGGCAGTGGTCATATTGGAAATGTTATTTTGTAGCATGACTAATTCATTTCTGCATGTACTTTTATGAAATTTAATATGCAGACAATTTAGTTTTGTAATAATTCTACGAACACTAACCTTTACATAATCCGTTTACCGTGTGTAAGTGCCTTTGTTACTGCATCTCTAAACCACTGAGCTGATACTTTGTATGAAATATCCAATTGACGGTGTTTCTAAAACACTGTTCATAGGATTCGAATTTCGATTGGATTTTGAACATAAAAGTAATTATTTATCAATGATGAAGCTAAGCCTCAGAGCGTTCTGGTTCCATTCTGTCGACTGAAACAATACACAGTGTATCATATATTAACCATTCAGATCAGAACCTGTATTTGACCCCATGCTGATTTTTATACCCTATTCCCATTAACCATACAAGAGCATTTCTCAAAATCGATGGACGTGTGTTGTACGAGTGAGTGAGTGAGTGAGGTTTAACGCCGCTTTTAACATTATTCCAGTTATATCACGACGTGTCAGCTTAATGTGGGAGGAAAGCCCGAAGTGATGCAGGTCTAAGACGTTTACCACTTCGGTGAAACCCACGAGCACGGGTATGGTGCTGACAAACCTAGAAACATAATTGGGGCGAACCGGGATTCGAACCCACAATCATAGGTTTCTGGCGTGCCCAAGGGACGCAAGTCTGCACAGCGAATCGCGGCGCCTTAGACGACTGGGCCACCCGTGCTCCCGAACTATAAGCAGATTGGTCCTGTGAATCATCTTTACCTCAAGTCCGCGGTTCGTTTCCCTTCAGGGGGCACGGGTGGCCCTGTCGTCTAAGGCACCGCGATTCGCT